TTTGAACAGGAAATTCTAGCACTTGTCTAGACTGTGAAGAAAGTTTATTTCATCACACCTCCAGAGTAGAGACTTTTGACTTTGCAATGTGTCCTTTAGTTTGTTCATTGAAAAAAGCCTCTGAGAAATTATTTCCCACTTTTTAAATTATTATTTTAACTTAGGTAACATTGAGGTATCCCCATCACACATTACCATAATAGTGCATCCACCACCACCCAGCCCATTGTCCACCACTACAGAACTTGTGCCTCCCTCTCTCCTTCTCCACCCCTCTCCTTTGGGGTCTCAGTTTTGTAGTCAGATATCACAGGTTAGTTTCTCAACTTGTCTTTATCTGACTATGAATTTAGTTACTTTATATTCAACCCATGCCATTTGCAACAATACGGAAAAAGTTGGAAAAGATTGTACTAATCAATATATTTTCCTATTTCAAAAGATATCAGGGAACCAGTCTGGTCACTGCTGTTCTATTTCTTCCATCTCAACAACAAAACACTGAAAACTAAGGTCTTGCATCTTATATGTTCTACTTTAAGAGAAGGGTGCTGTATCTTAGGATTATGTAACTTCTCCTTATGTTCTAATTTTCATTTTTAATTTACTGAAATATTTCTAAAATCATAATCTGTTAGCAATATGTATTAAATGATGTATGTCACTAATTATTCTCAAAAATGATTACATCTTCAAATTTTTTTTATAAAAGTCACATGATTGCCAGTTCTTAGCCATTATTCTGTGTTCAATATTCTAAACTGTAAACAGTTTAGATTTTACCTGATAATCAGTATTTTAATAGGAATATTTCTTGTAAATGACAAAAGCCCAATTCTAACTACATAGAATAGAAATAATAATATTTTAAAAATATAATAACCAAAAAGAGGGAAGAGAGAAAAAGTCAATTTTTATTTATTTTTTAATTTATTCATTGTCCTGAAGTACCATTGTTTCACATCCTTGCAGTTTTTAAAGTACAAGATTTTTCCCAAGTCTCCAAACAACTGCCACCACTGAAGCACCAACAGTTCTTCACCAAAACCCACTGTGCTCTCCCTCCACACCCACACTTTTACCCTTTCCCCTCCTCCTCTCACAGCTGTAGATCTAGGGCCAGCTTTCAAGGGTTAAGGTTTGCCTTTGTTTGATCCTTTGGTTTTCCTATATTTCACATACAAGTAAATCAGTATTGGCAGGTATTGGTACATATACAAAATGGAATATTACTCAGCAATCAAAAAAGTAATAACTCATGCCCTAGTCAGCAACAGGGATTATGCTAAGTGAAATAAGCCAGAAAGAGAAAGATGAAAGTAAGCTTTTAAAACAAAAGTTAAATGGCACAAGAACATCAGAAGAAGCAAACAAGGCCTCCCTGGTGGCAAAGGGGCTAATGACAGCTCTATCAACTTATTGTCAGCCACAGCAGCATGAGTTTGAACCCAGGGCCAGCCAGCTAACAACCAACATGGTAAGGAAGACCTCTCCTGCCATGCCCGCTGCTTCTCTCAGCTCTGTATTTCAGTCAGTTTGTCTGTTTTGCTCCCCACTCACTCTGGTGAATTCTCTCACCCCCTACCCCCCACACCTCTAGCTTACACCCCAATTCTTGTATGCATAAATAAATCTTTAAAAAAAGAAACAAAACATTGAATGTGTTAAGTTTGTTGCAAAGAGAATTGTTATTTTCATCATTTTCTCCTTGAATCAAAAAAAAAAAAAAGAATATGTTTATCTGTCATTCTCTAGGGGAATTACTTCTAAGGCACTGTTGAGTCAATACAAAGTCAAATTTTTAGTTTTATAAAGTCTTAAATTTGGAAACACTATAGTTATATCCTTCCATCTGGACTAATATATGAGTTTCCCACAACAATGACAAAATTGGCTAGCTTTATACATATTTAGCTTTTCATAAACTAAATTAAGAATTTTCTATTAACCACAAGAGGAATTATAACAATTAAGTTATTTATTAAGGATGCCAAATGATGTCACATTGACCAATGTTGATTTTTTAAAATTCGAAGTCTATGTGTTTACTTTGATATTTTCAATTACATCTGACATATACATATATCATTATTTTTGCTATATGTCAAACTACGGGTTCATTTTGTAGAATTTTATCTGTAATGACATCTGTACTCAGACAATATGAATTCATAATAAAAATTGCTCAAAATAATGGATAGCTAATTTATTGTATGCATATATTTTCCTAATAATGACTATTCTTTTTTTAATAAAGTATTTTTTAAAAGTTTCATTTATTTATTTATACAAGCACTGGGTTCAGTACACTGGGAGGGTGAGAGAATTCACCAGAGCCAGAGTGGGGAACAGAACAGGCAGACTGACAAAGAAATACACTGCTGAGGGGAGAGGCGAGCGAGACAGGAGAGGTCTGCAAGCCATGTGGGACCCTCAACGGCAACCAGGGATCGAACTGGTGCTGCAGAAGCTGTGGGCAGCTTTGCAACCCAGAGCTCAACCACTGCGCCACCAGGGGAGGCCCTAATAATGGCTATTCTAAAGGTCTAAGAGAGACAGATACTCTGGAGCTTAATAACAAATGAAAATATTCTTTCAATATGTTTTTTAAGTGCATTAATATTCACAGATTTTTAAAATGGAGACTTCAGTTACTACTTCTAGAGAAAATATTTACTACTCCTTTAAAGGTAATGCATTCATTCTAGAGAAAAGTGTGTTCATGGAGGACAAAAGAGACAAAGAAAATAAATTATGTGTAAAATCCAAATGCATATTAATTACATAACATAGTAGTGAAAAGATTTTGTATTTCTAAATATATTTATTTTAAAATTCCAGTATGTAAATATGGCATAACAATAATAATAAAGGGCAACCAATTCATTTACTCCATGAAAAGCTATGAGTACCAATTCTTCAGACTATTTTTTTATTTTTAAAGAAAGACAGGATGGCATTTTATTTTATTTTATTTTTCTTAAGATTTATTTATTTATTTATACAAGAACTGAGGTACAGGCCAGATTTGCAGTAGGGTGAGAGGATTCACCAGAGACAGAGCGGGGAGCTGAACAGACAGACTGATGAAATACACTGCTGAGGGAAATGAGTAAAGAATGTATGTTACAAAAATTGAGGATTCTGATACAAACTATTTAAATCATATTAATTTAACAAGTACTTATGGAAGAAGGCACAAATATAAATATTGTGAAAAAAAGAAAAATTGGAGTTCCGAGAAATGGCAGTATTCTTCCCAGAGTAAATGACAATTATATTATGTTTATCATATATTTTTATCTATATATTTACCAATATAACACTTATATAATTTAATAATTATATTAAACATATAGAGATACATTCTCAATTGAAATTCATAGACTGTTTTATATTAAACAGTTGTTTGCTGAATAATGAATTAATCCTTTACAAAAATGTAAAGCATGATGAAGTCAAAATGATGAAAAAATATACCTGTAGAAACACAAACCTGTAGAAAGAATCATTGGTGGAAAAAAATGAGGAGTTTTCAGAATGCTGAATACAGTTTTGAAGCCATTAGCAATATTTTTAAATCTGTATGTAACTTCTAAGTTGTATATACATTTGAGAAAAATGCAGTGAACAATCATAAATGGATATTTAAGCAAATCTCATTGCTTATCAAAAATGCAGATCTCTCTGTCATCTATGGAAAAGTTAAACTTAAAAATTGGTACATGTATGCATCCTGTGCATACACTATAAATTCACATATAAATATAATTTTACAAAGATGCACAGTATAGTTCACTCATATTAATATAAAATGTATAGATTTGCGGTGTCACTCCAAGAGTCATTTATCACCTTTGTCTTGAATTCTTGCAATCTGGACATTCAAATGAAATAAATAAAGATAAATATAATTTACAGATTGATATCTCAGTCACACTAGCCATTTTAAGCCATATTTAGAGACTTAAGACATTTGCAGCTTTGCAGAAAATACTTCAACTGGAATTTACCTAAAATAGAAGTCAACCAACATAAATTTGAATTCCTTACATGGTTTTAATTATAGTAATATATTTCTATTTTTCATATGAGCCATAGAAATGACCAGATGAATGTTCACAATCATATCAATTAGAGAAATAAAAGTGAGAATGTCTTGTGAAATATTGATTGCTTTAAAACATACACTGCCAAAAATAGCAAAGGCAGAAATGAATATGCAACAAAGAAACTGAAATATAAAAGTCAGATGTAGGTGAAATGATTATAAAAAAAGTAAAGAAGAGAAAACAAAGAGCACAAAACAAAAAAGAACAAAATTATTATTAAAGAAAATTAACAAAACACATATTTTCATTGTAAAGACAGTAAAAGTAACAACAAACTGTTTAGAAAACAATTGAGAAGATGTAAGTCCATTAGATATTAATTAAACATGGATATTAATAATTTTTATTGACAAATACCAGATAAGAAATCAATATTAAGTAATTTCCAAATAATATTAAGTAGTCTCAAACACAATCCCAGAATTATTTTTAAACAACTTTATTAAGATGTATTTACAAAACATAATTCATCCTTGAAGTGCATAAGAAAAAGACATTTAGCAAAGTCAGAGTTTGCAAACTTCATTAACTTTGATATTCAGAAAACTTTCATCATTTCAAAAAGAAACAGGGAACCAATAGGTGGTCACTTCCTCTCCAGCCTCCCCTCAGTTCTGGGCAATCCCCGACTTTTTGTACCCATGAATTTGCCATTATGTATAAATGGACTCACACCAAAAAATGATCTTTTTGAAGGTGGATGCCACTATGAAATGTTAAATCAAAAAATGTCAGACACAAAAGTAATGATATCTGTACTTTTTCTGAACATAGTGTGTTTCAATAATTATTTAAAAAATGTCATTAGAACAAAAACAAAATCAATATAGGAATTATTTCTTGAAATGGAAAGTTACACAAATGAATCCAATTTTTTTTTGTTTTAATTTAAAGCTTCTGCTTGCAATAATACATATCTGGATCTTCACAATCTTCTGCATAATATTTAGATTGTAGCACAACACAGCTATTGTTAGCAGATGATGTTTCTCCTATCCTGTAATAAAGAAAAAGACATAATTCTGCTGTTACAGATTGTTGGGGCAAGCCAAGAAATAATAGCATTTCTTTTGATTGCAATACAAACATATTTTGAAAGTGGATCAAGACAATTTTCATAGAATACTTGAAAGAGTTGGGAGTTAGACAAACTGAGCTATCCTTCAATGTTTATCAAGATTTACTCACATTCAACATGTCTACAATTTAATCAAATGCACTAATATCATTTTCTTATATTCCTTTTTATACCTTTCCTCTCTTAAATTCTATAGAGTCAGAGCAAACCAAGAAACAATAGCATGTTTAATGCCATTATCACATTATTTAAATAAAACTTACTCTAGGTGGGTAGTTGACCCATTTAAAAACATCCATTCATGATTGCTGCTGTTACGGTAGATTCCAATCCATGATGAAACTGCTATGGATTTCATAAATTTCTATTCAAACATAAAGAATTTTCACTTTCATAAGGATGATGAAAGTCTTCATTTTTAAAAAACACAAGCAATATGATCTTTCATAAGTTCCTACATTTCAGAAGGAAGAGACAGATTCCAATCTCATACCACATACATGTGATGTGCTGAAAACTATTGTAAGTGATGCCACAAACTCTCACCAGCACATCATCATTTTATAACATGAGCTCAAAACATTTGTACTTAGGAACTTCACTCTTCTTGTCATGTGAACACGGAAAATTCTGACCTAAGTCAGTGATCTGTCAGCACAAACCTACAACAGGAGGTGGCTCAGGGGAGCCATCCTGCACTGAGGTGAGGGGTCCTGTGCAACAACAGCAGGGCAGCCTGACAAAGGCAATGCCTCAGGGCAGTGACAACAGTCAGCAGCCAGGAATACTCTTCACATCCTAGCACCAAGAGACACATGAGCAGGGCTGGGAATGTACAGATGGGACATCTAAGGGGACCCTGTGACTGAAAATAGAGAACCCAGGAAGTTTCTTTATCTCTGAGCAGATGACATTCACATCCCGCACCTGACACATTAAACAGAATGGATTTTAAAATGTTATATGATAAAATTCTACAGTGAAAATTAGCAAACAGCAGATAAAAGCAATATGCAGATGAATTACTAAGAAATTATAGAGGAGTGATGTGACCGGAACAAAAGTATATACCATATGATTGTATTTCAGTTCATAAAAAAGAAAAGAGATCTATGAAATTAAAAATCAAGTCAGTGGCTAAATAACCAGACAGTAGGAGTGAAGAGAGAGCACACAGGGTGTCTGGGGTGTACTGGGGGCTGGAACTTCTACTCAGGATCTGCTCTGCAGATAAAATTTTCATTCAGTTGGTGATTAATCTGCCCGATCACAATATTCTTGCCTTCCTTGATGTGTATTAAAGAGCAATCTTTATTTGACACACACACACACACACACACACACGAAATATGGTCCTCTATGAAAGCCAAACTAGGTTTTTCAAATGTGCATTAATGGGTCAAAGATTTTAAAAATCCATAAAGTCAGACAATGGAATTTTATGCAAACTTTAAACTACATTTTTTTTAAAAATATGTATGAATTCTATAAATATAAAATGGGCCTGAATAAGTCTTCAATAAAGTGGTTGGGACACTGAAATTCTTACCATTTCATCCTCAGTGTCTATGTAGAGCAGCTGAGAGTTGTTACTCTGACAGGCTGTCACGCTCTCCTTCCAGGTTTTTTTTTCAGCGCTAAAGTAATAGCAGTTGTTGGAGTACGTAATCCACCCCTTTGGACAAGGGCCACAATGACATGCTGAAGGGAGATTATGAATTATTACCTAAAACTATTTGTGTCAATAAAATAAGACATATTGTATACATGCTAAGATATGAACATACATGTACATAACACATGCACAAGCCTCACTGCTGGTGCATACAACACACACTCACAGAGAAAGGGCAGCTTCTCATGCTATAATTTAGGTGCCCATATGATCCAAACTCTCACAAAACAATTATCCACTGTGTATGTCCTAACACAGAGTAAATAAGGTCATTTTTCACAGTGAATTTTTTTATACATTTAATAGCAGCAGGACATGAGCCAATTGGCAACATGGGTGTGGAAGTTCTAAGTAAAATTTCTTCCTGTTGTTGAATATGAGGAACCCCTCCTGTCCTCATTATTCATGAACATTTATTTTTTGATTTTATGATGTCTGTTCTAACAGAAAATTTATTACCATCATTACTTAGTCTAACTTATATACATAATATAAACTGTAGTAACATCAGAATTTTGGAAATCTTTGTGTACCTTTCTGGATGTTTGTTGTTGTGGAGGAATCATTCTTGTGTGGATTTTCAGTAGGAGCTAGAAAAAACAAAATAATTCTTATAAAAATTGATAGTGTTCTAAGAAAATCTCATAATCAATATATTTCTAAGTGAGAAATGTCGTGTTTTGGTAGATTTATAGTAATAATCTTATAATAAAATTGACTTTCCTTGACAATTACTAAAATAATAAATCCTTGGGGAAAATATCACAAAAATTTAGAGTCAATATCACCATCTCTTTCAGTCTGTAGTCACCAAATTTCAAAAATCATTTCAAAGTTTTCGATAGAGTATTTCAGTCTCCTAAAGTGTGACTTTGAATCATGATATCTGAATCTACACAAAATAATCTCCACAATCATTCTGTGTATTTATACTTTTGAGAAGGTGAGATTAACCATCCAACATTTAATTAAACTGATATTAACATATGTTCTTTCCTTAATACTAGGAAATTTTTAAAAGCACTGACAATCATTAAGTGAAAAGTTCCATTATAATATTTCATAAATTTACCTACGGGTATAAAGCCACACTGGCACAATAATGAATATCAACACAAGGCACTTGAGTCCGAAGATCCCAGCAATGAACTTCTCTGGAGGTGCAGCTAAGCCTGCAGGGAGAGAAACTAGAGACGCTGAGAAAGGACAGATGAAGACAGTTACTCAGTTTACACACAACAAAATCAACATGCACAGGGAATCACATATATAAATTTAGACCTGAGACCTCTATCTCCTACTGGAATCTTTCCCCCAGAATACATCATTGTTTTGTTTTTTTTTTTGTTTTGTTTTTTTAGTAAAGAAAACACCTATGAATTGTTGTTTGTCAACAATTATAAATTATAACAATACCTGGGGAAAAAATAGCCATCAGTTTTCCTACTAGAATACCATATTCCAATGCCAAATTCTGATCCTCACAAATGAAAAGCATGTCAGTTAATACCCTATTCTTTGTGCACATCTACCCCTCTGCATCTCCCAGAACAGTTGTGCTTTGATCTACTAAATGCTTTACCTTGGAGGTGACAGGACTTGCCATTCTCCTGAGGATCCCGAGCAGCATTGTGCAGACTTGATTCTGCATAGGTTACTCCCTGCTCTGTTCCAGTAGTGGAGCTTTTACTCTCTTTAGGTTTCACTTGCGGTTTTTTTGAGATCCCTGCCTGCTTCATCTCTGCATAGGTGACTCTTTGCTGGTTCATCTCTGCTGCTCTGTAAAGTCAGGAACTGCGCTCTGTGATAAATGCTTCTCAGTCTTTAATAAATGGTGCATAGGAGCAGGTCACTGTGGGCGGAGCGTGAGCGGAGTGACAGACTCATATTGCAGTTGAACAACACACATGTCTGCTCTAGAGTCCTAGAGCACTAAGGTAGTATCACCAGAGGCGGGTCCCGTCGCTCCAACATACAGACAACGGTGTAAACAAATATTACCTCAGTGAGAAAATATTTAAAAATATGAACTCCTAGGAACCTTAAACACATGTTTCTTGATGGAAAAAGTAGTTTTTTTGAAAGAATATTCCATGCTGACACAATAGTATTGGTTGGAAAAAGAAAAGCAAAAAAATTAACCAAAAATGAGTTCATGACCAATATTATCTTTATTAATTTAAAATCACATTCCACAGCAGCATCTTAACATTACTTGTATAACTGTATTGAAATCAGAATGGTGGTTTAGAAAAAAACTTTTTTGTCAATTTTTAAAAGTAATGGTTAATGACTGTTCTAATTTGGAGAAATAGCAGTATTAGCATTTCCTACACTATTTTTTTATTTAGTAATTTGTTATTTATTAAAAGGGAATGAGGTGTTATTCAATCTCAGGTTATTTTCTTTCAAAATATATCTCTCATTATTGTGATATTTGAGGAATATTTACAATATTAAAGAAATTATGTTAATGGCATGCTAAACTTGTCCAAAACCTAAATAATAAAGAAAACAAAGCAACAAAAATATTTTTTTAAAAAAATACATAATTTTAAGGGCCTCCCTGGTGGCGCAGCGGTTGAACACTGGGTTGCAAAGCTGCCCACAGCCTCTGCAGCACCGGTTTGACCTCCGGGCACAGGGCAAGGATACCACATGGCATGCAGACCGCTCCTGCTGCATGCTACTCCCCTCAGCAGTGTACTTCGGTCCTTTTGCCTGCTCTGCTCCCCGCTCTGGCTCTGGTGAATTCTCTCACCCTCCCGTGCTTCTGACTGTACCAGTGTTTGTATAAATAAATAAATAAATCTTTTAAAAAAATACACAATTTTAAGTAATACAAAAAATAGGTAATTGATTTAATAGCTAGATAAAAAAAAACAATAAGATACATACATTATTGATTTGTTAATTATTGGAACAACATTATTGGTTAAAACTGCCAGAAAGATCCTGTAACTATCCAAGTTAATGAATGTTGCTATAGTTGTGCAACAAATTGCAATAAATAAAAAAAATAATAATTTTAGTAATTCAGTCAGTAGACTCTGTAATGAATGGGATCTAGAATTAAATCTGACTTTGATACTATCACATTTTAATTTTATCTCATTAAAAAAGAAAAAGGAAAAATAAAATAAGTTATATAATTTTCAAAGTAGTTTTAGTTTACTAATCTAAAATGGAACTAGGAATATCTAAGATATAATACATGTAATACATGATACTCAACCTGATTTTTGTCAGCTGTCAATAATACATTCCTTATTTTAATTATTATTTTGATACAACCACCATGTTTTCCCTGTTTCATAATATTTATACCCTGCAACCTAATTCATTAAACAGCAGTTTGTTTTGTTAGTGTGGTATTTCTTTTACACGCTTTGTTTATTTTTAAGCATTTTGTATACTTTTAAATTCAAAAGCATTTTATGGAAGCTGTCTCATCCTGGTTTCTATTAACATTAAAATGTTTTATATTGGCTCTAAGTGTTTACATAAGGAATTACCTTTGAACTTCATGAAGGAATGTATTCATTTTAAGAGTCTAATTTTAAATATTGAGCTAAATACAAAATATATAAAGAATTATATCTGTATTTATTGTGAATTCACAAATAATTTTTTCTTTGTCATGATCTGGTGAAAAATCAAGTTAAATTGATTGATCTACAAATCTAATTATACACAGATGTTATAAACTTGACTAATTCTCCACTGGAAAGAATTCAAATATTTTGAGAAATCCCCAAAATATTTCATTCTCTTCTTGTGTTTGCCCCTAATTATTCATAAAAAGATACCAAAATTTCTTTGATTTGATTGCATATGAATTGTATATCAATTGCCTCACTTCTAACCTTCATAAACTTCCACTAAAGAGACAGGCCAGCAGAGAGAGGAGAACAGCAACACATACCTTCTGTTGGTGAGGAAGTTTTGCATCCTTGAGTGAAGGAGGAGACACCTCCATACTGATTTTCACAGGGACTGGCCCACAGAGCATCCTATTAGCAGTGCAAGAGGGTTCCCTCTTCTCCACATCCTCACCAGCTCGTGTTGTTTTGATCTGTGATCACAAACAATATCTGTGATCTTGAGAACTGCCCTGTGAAGTTTCAGAGTGAAGCAAGAGTGGAAAAAGCAGATTTCTCATGAATGTGTCACTAGCAATTTGAACAGGAAATTGTTACACTTGGGCTATTTTGAAGACAGTTCACCTCATCACACACCAGCAGACTATAGGAGATGATGGGTTTGTACTTGTCATTGGCCGTTTCCATTTTCAAATGCCTCTGAAATATATCAGGAAATAAAAGACTTGAACACCCATTCTTGTTATTTGTTTCCAAACTTAGGCCTCATTAAGACTGTCTTAGATGTTTAAATTCTACTACCAAGCAATGTTCATAAATCTTTTTTTAAAGATTTATTTATTTATTTATACAAGAACTGGGGTACAGGCCAGATATGCGGGAGGGTGAGAGGATTCACCAGAGACAGAGAGGGGAACAGAACAGGCAGATTGACTGAAATACACAGCTGAGGGGAGCAGCGGGCAAGACAGGAGAGGTCTGCTCACCATGTGAGACCCTTGCAGGCCTGCTGGGACCAAACCGCTCCTGCAGAGGCTGCGTGCGGATAGCTTCACAGCACTGTGCTCAACTGCCTGTGCCACCAGGGAGGCCCAAGATTCATAAATCTTGACATATACTTTTCCCATATACTCTCAGTATATTATTTATATTGTAATGGAAAAAATCCGTATTTTTATTCCATTACCAATAGGTGTTTAATGAAGTTTGTCACTAATTTTTCTAAAAAAATGACTACATTTCCAAATTTTCTATTATAGCAAAGATCAATACCTAAACTTCTCCTTATCTCTTCCCTAGTTCATAAAATTCCTGAATTCAATTTTATTCTTTATAAATAAGCAATTTAGATTTCCACAGACAAAAAAAGAATATTAAACCATATCATCATTTCAATGACTGAAATATTACAATCATTCATTCATTGTATTTATATAATAAATATAATTGTATTTTAGTGGGAATATTTGTTGTAAATGATAAAAACCTAAGGGCACTTTACTTATGTAAGGGAATTACAAGGGTAACTTTCAAAAATCTCACTGAACCAAAAATTGGGGAGAGCAGAAAAAAATAGACTTTAAAAACGCAAGTTGAAAGCATATACAAAATGATCATTATCACAGAATCGCAAATCAAGACACAAGGAGATACCACCTCATTCCTGTGAGAGCACGCTATATCAAAAAGATCAGAAACAACAAGTGCTGATGAGGATGAAGTCTATGGTCAAACACTATAAAGTCTCAAAAATTACTCATAATAATAAGAGTAACTATTATTTACTTTTTGTGACATTTGTAGAAATAATCATACAGGGGTGTGTGTGTGTTATACACATATATACAAACATATGTATGCATACATAATTTGTGACTTTCTAATTGTGAGAATATCCAATGATAAGAAAGGTGGATGAATTGGAACTCCACAATAAACAAAGGATACAGTTTTCAGGTTAAGACTCAGCGCTATCACATTATCACACCTTTGGCCTGAGTTTCATCCCCAGCCATAGAACTAACCCACATGGTGCAGCAGACCTCTCCTATCTCCCTGCTGCTCCCCTCAGCAGTGTATTTTAGTAGATCTGTCTGTTCTGCTCCACCACTTTTTCTCCGATGAATCCTCTTACCCCCTGCATCTATAGCCATACCCCAGCTCTCCTATGCAAAAAGAGAAATAAAATTAGAAAAAATTAAAAATATATAAAAAAATCTTCTAATGATGAAACACTGTTGCACCTGATAACTTGTATATGCAAAAAGGATAGAGATAAAAGAATTATGTGATTAATCTAAATGAATTGAGTAAATATAACTTTGATGATAAGCTTTCAAATTATAATTATAACTTCATATTAGAAGTCAAGGATTGAATATGACACAAATTAAAAGTAAATGGTACATGAGTCTTTTTAATGCTGGAAGGGTATATATACTATTTTTTAGATTTTAATGAATGGAGAATGTATTCTATAAAATGTAGTATTTTTTTATTTTATTTTTATATTCCCCATACAATTGCAACCCCCTTATTTTGACCTCATCCCTCCTTTCCCCGACCCCCACGCGCCATAGTATGTCTCTGGTTCATAGTTGTTTGTTGATTTTGATATTTTCTTTCTTATAGTTATTCTTTTTCCTGGTGCCTTGTTTAGGTTTCCTAGATTCCTGCTATGAGTGAGACCATCTGGTATTTTTCTTTTTCTTTCTGGCTTATTTCGCTGAGCATGATCCCTTCCATCTCCATCCATGTTGCTGCAAATTGCATGTGTTTATCTTTTTTGAATGCTGAGTAATATTCCATGGTGTATACGTACCACATCTTCTTGACCAGTCATCTATTTTGGGGCATTTGAGTTGTTTCTAAAGCTTAGCTATTGCCAATAGTGCTGCTATAAACAAAGGGTTGCAGGTGCTCTTTGGATTTGATGTTTCTGTGTCCTTTGGGTAAATACCTAGGAGTGGAATTGCTGGATCATATGGGAGCTCTATCTTTAGTAGGTTGAGGAATCTCCACACAGCTTTCCATACTGGTTGGACACTGGAACAAAGAAAGTTTGTTCAATAAATGGTGCTGGGAAAAATGGGTAGCTACATGCAAAAGAATGAAACTTGCTACTACCTCACACCATGCACAAAAAGCAACTCAAAATGGATTAAAGAACTAGCCATAAGACCTGAAACCATAAAATACA